TTTACTCTCTTAACTTTATGACAGCTGAGTCAATAACATCTTACTGGGTGTTTTTATGAACCACCTAATAGATGGTTCTGTATTGCAGGCCTGAGGGTGCAGTCAGTGATTAAATGTAAGATTCTGTCCATACATATGATAGAGCCACATTAAACTGCTGCTGCCCACAGGCTGTTTGACAGCTGTCTGCCTCGATGTGATATTTAAATCACTGCAAAGCATTAAACAGGAATGCCAATTTGCAACCAAAACATGCTTCTGGAATGTGAGAAACTTCAGACCAAAAAATCTCTAGACATCCTTTTAAAGGTTTTTTGATGAGTAAATTGCAAATATTAGCACCACTAAGCTTGAAATAGTACCCCTTGAAATAGAAAAGTGAATATTCTCAAATGCCAGCCTGAATTCATGCCCACTGGCCAAATCTAACTTAAGCAACAAAATAAATGGGTTAATACCAGGTTACATCTCATTGAATAAAATGGGAATCTGTGAGTTCATAAATAAACAAATAAATAGGGAAAAGGGAAAGCTCTTCCTTCAATACAAGCTCAGCTAATAAATGCAGATGGGATGATAGAAATAGATAGTCACCATTGACAACCATTATAGGAAGATGCTACAGACAGGAGTCACTGTTAAGTGGTAGACTGGTAGTTGGAGGGTTGATGAAGGAGTAATAGGATATTGGTGCGATACTATGTACTTGTTTCAGATCTCATGCTGTAAACAGTGTCCTTTTCACAGTCTATTCAATAATAATTTCTTACCTTTTTGTTGATTTTGCTATTTAAAATGGCCGCCAGGCATAGTGCTGCCTGTCTAGTTTCCTAAGCACAAGAAGGCTGTAATGTGCCTTCTGAAGAAAATACATGGTTAGAGGTTTCACTGAGGCATGAATGGATAGTGCTGTTGGCCACGAGTGCAATATTAATGAATCACTTATATGTTAAATGAAGTGCCTTTAAACAGAAACACAAATAAAACAAGGTTATGCATTGATCAGTTAAAGAAAATGTGACTAAAGACTTGCAGGAAACCAACTCTGCTTTTTCCCTAGGATTAATGCTTCAGTATTTGCTAATTCAGTATTTTGGCACCTTTATAAAACATAACTTGCTGTGCATAACAAAAATCAAATGTCTGTCATGTGTGGTACTAACAGTGGTTGCCATTGGTTTTATTAATTTCACATCATATATAACAATGTTTTACACTTTTAAGTTGTGAAAGTGTATACATATGTATTTGTGAGTTATTTATACCATATTTTAAAGTATAAAAGGGCATTGAGAAGACTTTAACTTTGGTTGTTACTCTTGCTTTGGATTTCCTGGGGAGTCATCTTAAAGAGTTTTGACTGGTCATTGTTTTATAGTGTCTTTATGGAAACTACTGACTTCCAGAGCCCAATAGACTTATTCTGTATAGTTTTTAATGCTAATTGATTGGCTTTTGATACTTTTGAGTGAATGAGAAATATCTTATTAGAATTAATGGATGGAGGAGCTAATTGTACATAGTATTTGAAAGGGTAAGTAACAAGGGAAGGAAAAGACTCAAATTGATTCAAAAGCAAAAAATAAGAGAAGATAATTGGTGTATTCTGCATCTTTCTTCTAATCTGCCAGATATTAGACAAAACAAATTGGGGTCTTGTCTTTAAATAGAAAGCAGATGTGCTGAGCATATTAATCAGATTTTTAAAAACTGCTTGTCTAGAAGAGAGTGTTTGGGGCTACTATATGGAACTTCAACTTTTGATTGAAGTCTCCTTGATACCAGGCACTTTACACTAGATTAATGCCAGGAAATCAATTTTCTCTCCTCTCACCTTTAGGCAAGTTATTATTCTCCTACTACAGAGTCACTTCTCATTTAGGTTTTTGGGAAACAGGAAAAAAAATTATTCTTTGAGACCAGTTGTTGGCTAAGATGGGCTTTTGGCTACTTGTCATTCACTAACTATAAAATTGGATTTAAAAAAACCACAACAGTTTTATTTCTTGTTTTGTTTAATACAAATGTCTCTTCAGCCAGAAATCATTACTAATGGTTATTAGATATTTATTTTGCACTTTATAATCTTATAAAGTGATTTTTATCAGGTGTTTCTCACAGAAACCCTGAGTGGTAGGTGAAAATCATAATTTCATAGATGGGAAAACTGAGGGATAGAGAAGCTCTGAACCTTGCTCCCTGCTTAGAATCTTCAGCCTCTGCTTTTCTGATTTGTATTGTAGGTTGTTTGGGTTTGAGTTTTTGTTTTCTTTTTTCCTTTTTTAAGGTCTTCTTATTCTACTGCTGTAAAGAATGATTTATACTTGACAACAGCTGATCTTTTTCTCCTACAGGGATATTCCAATGCCCTTAGTCAGCTCAGGAGTCGAGCACGGTAATTTGAGAGAGCTGGCATTCGCAAGAATGAAGGACCTGGGAATACAGGTAAGAGTCTGACTGTAACTGTTGAGATCAAAGTAATCTGGAATGCAAAAATACTTTTATATTCTCACAAGCTTAGGAGTTTGGTCAAAGAGCTTTCAAATATTGAAGGTATTCTTACTGTATAACATGTTGAAGTTGAAGCTAGTGGTTGCAGCATCCAATCCCTTCCACCCCTTCTGCTCCCTCCTCAAAGAGTGTAATTTTTTTTCTACCTACCCAGATTGCCAACTATGTACTTAACTCACTTTTTGAAAAACATTTTTCTTTTGAAGTATTGAGTGTTGGATTCTTTTTTTTTATTAATATATTTTATTGATTTTTTTACAGAGAGAAAGGTAGAGGAGTTAGAAACATCGATGAGAGAGAAACATCGATCAGCTGCCTCCTGCACACCTCCTACTGGGGATGTGCCCGCAACCCAGGTACATGCCCTTGACCGGAATCGAACCTGGGACCCTTCAGTCCGCAGGCCGACGCTCTATCCACTGAGCCAAACCGGTTTCGGCAGAGTGTTGGATTCTTGACTAATGGTTAGAGAAGTATATGAGGATACGATGTTTGAAAAAACAAGGATTACATGCGTGAAGTAATTACCAGACAATGCTATTGCCACATACAACAGTCTCTTCATCCCACTCCACCCTCACATCTATTCAGTCAGTTTTCTGAAAAGTTTTCTCCATAGTAATTTGGCTAAGAGAATAAAATGCCTTGGGTAAGTCTTCAAACATGATACAAGGTCCTCAAAACGATGTGTTTAAAGTGCAGTCCATGCTTACATTGTGCACGAGGACATTCACAGCCCCATCCCACACCTGGTGAACAGATGTTTACTAAGCACTTCCTTTCTGCAGGCCCTAGAAGTACAAAGAGCCCAGGAATCTGCAATTTAAATTTCTGTAGGTGATTCCATTGTGCACGAGGACATTCACAGCCCCATCCCACACCTAGTGAACAGATGTTTACTAAGCACTCCTTTCTGCAGGCCCTAGAAGTACGAAGAGCCCAGGAATCTGCAATTTAAATCTCTGTAGGTGATTCTTAAAGGATTATGAGATTTAAACTCAGTGCCCTAGAAACTACTTCTTAGAACTGAACTGCTCAAGAGAAAAGGCCTGGAATGGTGTTGGCCTGAGCACTGGTTCCTGGGCTCTGCCTTCAGAGATTCTGGCTCACTAGGTGTGGGATGGGGCTGTGAATGTCCTCATGCACAATATGAGCATGGACTGCTCTTTGAAAGACATCGTTCTGAGGGCCTTATATCATGTTTGAAGACTTACCCAAGGCATTTTATTCTCTTAGCCAAATTACTATAGAGAAAACTTTTCAGAAAATGGTTTGTGCAGAGGAGAGTTTGTGAACATTATTGGCTTATTCTATCCTCCTCCCCAAATTAAACGATTTTAAGTTCTAGAAAATCAGCTCACGTATTTGCAATAATTAATAAACCAAACAGGATTGTAGGTCTGCTCTGCTTCCCATTCAGCTGTTCTTTATTTCCACCTCCTCTCTCTCTTGAAAATACCACTAAGAGTGACTGATCTGGCCTGGTTATCCTGATAACCTTATCATCCACCCATTGTCTTTAGCCCTGTACCCTCATAAACCTTGATAGCCTCTCAGTAACTGGGGTTGAGTCTAAAGACTGGAATTCAGTCATAGCCAAAAGACATCTAGTTCACAGAGGCAATGTCTATACCAGCAATAAAGCAAATACCAATCTCTGCCTTTTAAAAAGCATTCCCCACTCCCGCAAAAAACAAACCGAAAAACCCAGAAGCATGCAGGCGATCATTGAGGTCATGTAAATACAGTACATTCACATGCAAGTTACTATATAGAACTGCTGTAGTTAAAAGACAACATACAAAGGTAATAGACTTATAATTACAGAGACTTGTCATCCTTATTTGCTATGCAGTTTTTGAGTTAATGGAATCCACATTAGCAAAGTATTATTGTCTTGGACTGGTTCCTGGGGCATGCATGCAGCTTTTAGTGTTTCTTATGGAATTTTACCCATATATAGCAATCCTTCGTAAATACAGTGTTGGTGGTTTAGCTTGCATGAATGACATCATCAAATTTCCTAGGGTGATCTTCCTCACTGATAGAAAATGTTAGAATCCTGAAAATAAGTTTTACAGTTTATTCTGTAGGGAAATATGCCATGAGACCTATAACTGAATACTTTATGGATTTGTAATTATAAATGTCAGGCCATGGAGCATGTGGAATAGAAGTGAGAGTTGCATCATAGATGCTTGGCTATGCAGACCAGAGATTGCATCTATATCTGCAGGCAACTCCGTGCCTCCCTGGGACACTAGAGCAGTGATGGCGAACCTATGACACACGTGTCACAGGTGACTCGCAAACTCATTTTTTTGGTTGGTTTTTCTTTGTTTAATGGCATTTAAATATATAAAATAAATATCAAAAATATACATCTTTGTTTTACTATGGTTGCAAATATCAAAAAATTTCTATATGTGACACGGCACCAGAGTTAAGTTAGGGTTTTTCAAAATGCTGACACGCCCAGCTCAAAAGGTTCGCCATCACTGCACCAGAGCCATTTGTGACTGGAGTTCGAGTTATATAATAAATGAGTCTAGGTCCCTTTTTTATTTTATTTTTTAGAAAGTCCCTCCCCCCCCCTTTTTCTCTTCTCTCCTTCCTCCCGCCCTCCCATCCTTTCTTCTGCAGTGCCCTTCTCTGCAAAACAAACAAACAACAACAAAAAAACCAGCACTCTTCAGCATCCCTCTTTTTGACAAGATTTCCAAAGTGATACAGATATGATGATGCTAAAAATATTAACTGCCATAAAGTGGTGAGAGTTTTTAAAAGTTAGGAATTTGCTTTTTACTCTTCTATATAAATAGTTTTGGATTGCACTTTCAAATACAGTTATATCCCCTGGGTAAAGCCGTTACCAGGTTTTAGGATGTATGTTCTTTACTTCCAATATTACATTATATATCGATCTTTCTTGAATTCTAAACTTATTTTAAAAGCAGTACCGTACTGCACTAACTTTATACATTTTTATTCCATGGTTCCCATCCTCAGATTTATTAAAGATGGCTTCATTTTTTAGTGCAGTTCTTTTATCTCAATGTAAATTGTATCCAAACTTAATTTTGAGCCTGGGGTTTGTGGAGTGGTTTCAATAAAAATTGAATTAGTTACCAGTTTTATAATTGCTCCCTCATTTTCTTTTTTTTCCCTCCCCAGTGTCGAGATGTGAGAACCAGAGAGGTTGGAATTCAAGAAATTCATCACAAAGTACGGCCATATCAGGTTAGTTTCTTCATTTTATAGAGAGATTGGGTCCTGTTCATAAATCTTTTTTTGTCAAGCCTGAACCCACATCTTCTTACCAATGGATTGGATACTCAAAGTTAATGAGTAAACTACGAGCAAAGGGTAATTGTGGATCAGATACAGATGTCAAGCCAGGAAAGAGCCACGTATGAGGGGATGAATTCTAGAAGAGCCAGGTTAGGAAAACCAGATCTGAACTTCATTCTAGACCGGCACTGTGCAATAGAACTCTGCAGTGCTGGCGATGTTCTATAATCTGTGCCATCCAGTATGGCATCCGCCAAGTCACATGTGACTATTAAGCAGTTGAAAGGTGGCTAGTACAACTGAGGAACTGAGTTTTTACTTTTATTTAATTTTAATTAATTCAAATGTAAATAGCCACATGTGATTAGTGGCTATATTCAAGTAAAGCTGGATGGACCTGCTCATCTCACTGTGTGCAACTGTTAAATTATTGCCCATTGGTGGTAATCAAATGAATAGATTAGCCCTTACCAGCAGACAGGGGTTCCACAAAACTTGAGCCTGATGTCCACATATTTAGGTTTGGCTTTTCTGTGTATGTATGCTTATATTTATGCAAAGTACAAGGGCACTTGAACAATGAGTTGAATCAAAAGCTATGTAGATTGCTACCACAAAAGTCTCCTCCAAAAAGCCACTCTTCCAGTGATTGAATTTTCTTTAATGTATTAATCTCATAACTAGACATAATAATTTAAGGCCCTATGGGATGCTGTCAAGGAACAAGTAAGTGACACATACCCCTCCCCCCCAAAAAAAGGGTTTTAATGGAGGAAGAACTAGAAAGTCAAACCATTGAGCATCTGAAAGTTCTGGGGCCCAGGGGTTCTCCCAAGATCTATGCATGTGGCATAGTGTATAATTTTACCTTAGAGACTCTTCCTGGAGCAGCAGAGATTTAACTGCATGGAAGCATTTACTAAGCCAGATATTTGTAAGAATCTCAAAATTAATGAAGTTCAAATGTTTATGAAACTGTAAAATTGTCTTTTTTTTTATAATAGTTCAGGAACATCAAAAAGGGCTTCTGTCATGTGTGGCACACATGGGGCAGCTTGAGTGTTCCACATGCGGAGTCAACATCAAGAGATTTCAGAAGCATAATTTTTTGGTATCTGGGCAGCTAGTGAACATTGGCCCTGGCACCCACCAGGAGGAAAAACAGTTCATGAACAATGAGTGAACTCTGATTTAATTGATGTTCAAGATTGGACAAGTAAAAAGAAATAATTTGTGATTGTTTTTTATCCTTGATTGTGGATATTAGCCTAAGTAAATACATATATTTATAAAAATGAACTTTGTTCTCCAATTTTTAAAAAATGTGGTGGTTTTGTTTGTTGATTTTGTGTTGTTGTTTTTTTTATTTAACAGGTTGAGTTGGTAAGGAGAGATTATGTTGCAAATGGTGGCTGGGAAACATTCTTATCATACGAAGACCCAGATCAAGACATTTTGATTGGCCTCCTGCGATTACGAAAGTGTTCAGAGGAAACCTTCCGTTTTGAATTGGTTGGAGGTGTTTCCATAGTCCGAGAGCTGCATGTGTATGGGAGTGTAGTCCCTGTGAGCAGTCGGGATCCTACTAAGTTTCAGCATCAGGTATCCTATATTTCATTTCTATTTGACCATAATTAGTTAAGAAATTCCCCCAAGGAGGGAAAGAAAAATGGAATGGGAGAAAGACACAGAGAAAGGTGAAAGGGAAGTATAGAAACAGGAACCAATATTTTAGTTGTTCAGCGATGTCTTCTCTTCAAATTGCCCACTTTGGGATATGAGGGGGGAGGAGGAAGAGACAAAGTGAGACTCAGGCAAGTGGAATATAATACTAGGTTGAATGATATGAAATTGCTGTTTTTGAAAGTCAGAAATGGTCCAATCCTGGCAGTTTTGAATGATCCACTATTATGGCATCAAAGGAGATGATAATGTGGAAGCCCTTAAGAAGTATTAAAGCACTTCATAAATGCGAGTTATATGATATATATTGGAACCCTGTTCCACTCCCCCCAAACAACTTAAATAAATAAAAAACTCACCTTTTAAGTTTTAGGAAAATGGGTTAAAGACACTAGTGGTAGATTTAGCATAGACTCCAAAATTAGTGAATTAAGAATATTGCCTGGGGCCCTGGCCAGGTAGCTCAGTTGGTTAGAGCATTATCCTGATACACCAAGGTTGTGGGTTCCACCCCCAGTCAGAGCACATATAAAAATCAACCTGATACACCAAGGTTGTGGGTTCCATCCCCAGTCAGCACATATAAGAATCAGCCGTTGAATGCATGAATAAGTGGAACAGCAAATCAGTGTTTCTCTCTCTATCTCCACCTCCCTCCCTCTCTCCTCCTCTCTCCCACTTCCCGTCTCTCTAAAATCTTTTTTCTTTTTAAGAATATTACCTGGCAGTTTTGACTAAGTGCTAGGCTAAGCAGACTAGCACTCAAAGCCTCTTAGAAACTGGAGGGGTGACTAATAAATACAGGTTAGATGCCCTAGACTTCATCACCTTGAAATGGCCTAGAACTTGTTCAAAAAGAGACAGAAGTGAAGGCAGTTACCCCCTTGCTGTGAGTAGATTACATCAGCCACAAAATACCTGTTGACTTTTGTTGCAAAGTTATTCCTTTTTTATCCCCCCCCCCCACTAGCCTGCTGTAGTGTACTTTCAGTATAATTAAAAGATTTCTCTTTCCTTACTTTCATAAATGGGTTTCTTTTTGTCACTCTTATTTTAACAGATTGAGCAAGTACTAAATATTAGCCTTCTTGTTTTATAGATTCCCTTAATGACTTCTTTTCTCCTTAATTCTCTCACCCTCTTTATTGCTCCTTATAGGGATTTGGCATGCTGCTGATGGAGGAAGCAGAAAGAATAGCTAGAGAAGAACATGGGTCTGGGAAAATAGCTGTTATATCAGGTAAGCGGCAGGGGGGAGGGGGGGTTGACGGCAAAGTTCGTGACTCGTTCACATTTTTAACTTGGTACCACAATTAAAACTACCCCAGGTCTCTTTTGTGGCTGTTTATGTTCAAAATGGGACAGAACTGAGTAGTGAAATACCTGTGCTTAAACACAAAGAAAACTCCTATAAGCAGTTTGCTGGAATAGAGCGTTCAGAAGCAACCCGTCTCTGAGTGGCAAGACCGGTAGTCCGTGTGCTGTCTTCCTCGCTGTCTGTCACACTAGTCATCGTGTTCATCTCCTCTCTTGTGCTTTGTGCCCAGTTACTTTGGGAAAATGAAGTTTGATGATATGGATCTAGCACTAGTCATCGTGTTCATCTCCTCTCTTGTGCTTTGTACTCAGTTACTTTGTCTGGGAAAATGAATTGTGATGATATGGATCCAAGAAAAATGTAAATCAATGTGGAGATTATCAATATTGTTGTTCAGGAAATTAAAATAGAATCTCAGTTGCCAGTACAAGATGTTTAAAGGCAGAGTTTCCTGCTCCGTAAATACCGTTCGCAGTGACTTTGCTCTTGGGGAAGCACTTGCCCTGTGTGGATTCTCCATTCCTGATCTAGGACAGCAGGTAATGGGGAAGGGGCATGAAAAGGACATTGTAGATGAGTGGGACAAGAAGTAATGTCGCGCCCTTTCACGCTTGCTTCTTGGTATTGTATCCCTACACAAATTGCTGTTCCCATTAAGAAGCTAACATGGTGAAAGCCATGATCAAAATGTAGGTTATTTCTCTTCCAGTGTTTGTTTTCTTATTAGACTACTCCATTCTAAAGGCGGATTATTTCCTTTTTTAGAAAATATTCTTTTCTCTGAAAATGAAAGTTGAAATGAGATTTTTCTTTTTTAATTAGTAAGTTGTTGCCCATCAGTAAGTCAATACCTTTGCCTAACTTTTAATGATTATAATTATGGAAATGTAATGACCCAGGCTCACTTAATCATTTATTCTGGCCATGGTTTTTGGCATTATCCAGACAGATTAATAAAGCACTTCTTAACATGGCTAGCTTTATAAATTTTTTTCTGTTATCTTTAATCTCACTAAAGAAGAGGGAACTAAATGAACTAAATGAGGCTCACATGATTGATACTGATGTATGTGATGATAAATGATTACCTCTCAATGGTTTAATCTGTAGTTGACCAGAAGTCAGCCTTTCCTGGTGGTACCAGGAAAAGGCCAAACCTACGCAGAGCTCATTCTCCACATGCATCTGAAGGGCAGCGATCATCTGAAATTTCCGTGGCCTCTTTTCCGGAGCACTGTCAGTGTCTGCAGTACAGTACTCACGCTTTCATGTGCTTGTGAATCACCTGGAGATTTTGTTAAAATGCAGATTTTGACTCATTAGGTCTGCAGTGGGGCCTGAGAGCCAGCATTTCTAACCAGCTCCCAGTGACACCCAAGCTGATTCTTTTCAGACCGCACTTTGAGTAGCAGGGTTTTAGTATTCTCTTCCAAATGTAATATCCTCTTCCAGATCATTAAGGTAAGGGTACTGCCTGTGACACTGGCCGTGCCTGCACTCTCAAAGGCTGATACGCAATTACATGATTTTCTGGTATCTGTGGGAAACCTAATCAGTCTTAAAACTGAGAGCATCGGTACTCTATCACTTCTGCGTGTTATTTCATTTGGCTTCATGATAACTCTCTTTTTGGAAATAATACATGCATTGCCTGAGGTCACATTCAGTTGCCCATAAGAGCCTCAGTTTCTGCTTTTTATGAGCAGATAATGGAAATCAGCATCTGTACTCTTTCTAGCTTTTTATCATAATCTAAATAATAGCTCAATTTCAGATCATCTGCTTGTAGACTTTTTAGAATAACAGGGAAGAGCCTTTCTCCTTATCGGCTCCTATAATAGGAACTACTAGATTTCCGTACGGGGGCTTCTTTTGGTCAGTGGGTTTCTGGCCTGAGGAACAGCCCTGGAAGAACTAAGTGAGTTCTGTGGGAGGAAGAAAGTGGTACTTCTGTCACTGTGGCCTGTACGCCCCACATTGCTTGCTTTTGGGAAAACCACATAGGGCTTTGACTTTCTGTTTGACTCAAAATCTGGTCACCCTTCAAATGAAAAAGCTAGGACTTCTGTCTGTGTATGATGCATTTGATATCTAATTTACTAATATGTTACTGTTCTGTTTAAATTTCTGAATCAGACATCTGAGATGTCCATTATTCAGAACTTCAAGGAAGGCAGATTTAAAGTGTTTGTTTTCACATGTTTTTTATGTTGTTTTTTTTCCTTCCATGTTTGTTCATTTTGATTTTGGTCCTTTTTTTTTTTTTTAACAGTTTACTTTCAATTTTATTTTGTATTGTTTTTAGGTATACTGCTTAGTAGTTAGTCATACACTTTTAAGCTGAGATGTCCATTATTCAGAACTTCAAGGAAGGCAGATTTAAAGTGTTTGTTTTCACATGTTTTTTATGTTGTTTTTTTTCCTTCCATGTTTGTTCATTTTGATTTTGGTCCTTTTTTTTTTTTTTAACAGTTTACTTTCAATTTTTTTTTGTATTGTTTTTAGGTATACTGCTTAGTAGTTAGTCATACACTTTTACATAATTTATTTAAGTACAGTGGTGTGTGTGTGTGTGTGTTTGTTTTAATTGGTTTTTATAAGTTGATTCTTAGAATGCAGGTCTCTTTGTGATAGCACTGGTATTTGTGTGCTGCATTCATTCACAATTCGCCATTAGAGGTAGTACATAAGAAGAGACACTTAGGCAGGGTATGATTATGATTCCATTTCTGCATGGACAGTAGCTATTGTGATCTTGGATAATTTCACTTGATCTTCATGGACCTTTATTTTCTTACTAAAAACATGTGGGTCACGTTATCTTTTAACAATCTGGAATTCTGCCCCTTAGTGTCTTAATTTAAGTTCTCCACAGGGCCAGTTGTTTTACATTTACATTTTAAGTAGATTCTTTTCTGAAACTGTGGTAGGATACCCTTTAATTTCATCAGTAACTGATCTCAGTCTCATTGTGGATTGGGTATGTGATGATAAAAATAAAGTTTACCTTAGGTGGCTTAGTCCTCTCAGTGATTTGTGGATGCCTGTTAACTTCATCATGACTGATGGTACTTTGTGACCTAAATGTCCTACTTTTTTTTCTGACTTTGTCATCAATGTGTATATCCATTCTTGTTCTGGGCTTTTGTAACACTCTAACCCAGTGATGGCCTAAATATTCTGTCCCTACGTAACTAGTAGCTTGAGTCAGAGAGAAGCAGCTTATTTATCATTCTGGTTACTCTGACTGTAAGAATGCATTTATGTAGAATTTGTTTTTAAATTACATTCTGATTCATTATGACTTCCCTTCATCATGCCAGCAGATTTTTTCCGTTATTTAGATTTGTAATCTTTGATTCTGCCTCTAGAAAATATTAACTACACAGTAGATCTGATTTACATCTAGTCAGAAAAACTAGTATATACCTTCTATAAACAAAATATATTGAAGTAACAGATAAAAAAACAATTTTTAATAGAAAAAAAGAATAATTGGTATTATATAAAGTTTATAACTGATTTATCTTTTTTTAAAGATTAACTTTACAGCTACATGAGAAAATTAAAAACTTCCTTGTTTATCGGAGTGAAATGAAGCACTTTCTTAGACTTTTGCTTATTCTATTTTTTTTAACTACATGTAATTCTTCGTAAGTAAGCTGGGTGTTTTAAAGTTAACCATCAACTCTAAATGGGAAATTAAACAAAGCAAAAATGAAATGTTTAGCTTCATCGACATCAAAATCACTAAGTGTATTTTTTAAGTCTCCTATGTGCAAGGGACTCAGGGCCGAGCGGGCAGAGAGAAGTGCGCACTGCTGCCTGCCTGTGAGGGATGTCATATTGGGCTGGACAGCTCTCCATCTTCACCCTAGAGATTGTCCTTAACTATAGAGGAAGGCTAAGTTTTTCTCCCAACCTACACTACTTTCCCTACACGTAAAAAATGGGTAAATCCGTGGTATAAGAACAACCACTTTATAAAATAATGTGTAGACGGAAAATGACAGTTAATTGCTGCTAAATACCTAAGCAGTTAATTAGTCCCTGTCAAGTCCAAGTGCTTTAGTATCTCTCACCAACTTACTCGTGTAGCTTCTATCAGCCCACATGTTTAAGATGAACAGATCGTATCTATTTGGATGATCAGCATTCTTTCCTTTAAAAATGTTAAAATTGCCGAACCGGTTTGGCTCAGTGGATAGAGCGTCGGCTTGTGGACTGAAAGGTCCCAGGTTCGATTCCGGTCAAGGGCATGTACCTGGGTTGCGGGCACATCCCCAGTAGGAGATGTGCAGGAGGCAGCTGATCGATGTTTCTCTCATCGATGTTTCTAACTCTCTATCCCTCTCCCTTCTTCTCTGTAAAAATTCAATAAAATACATTTTTTTTTAAAAAAATAATAAAAATGTTAAAATGAAGCAGTTCTTTCTCTTCCCTCTCTCATGGGATACAGTGGAACCTAACCACAACATTTGAAATGCCATCACTAATAGTCACCATGGAAACTGAAGATCTCTGATGTCACACTGCTCATACCATTTCCAAAAAGGCAAATGTAGCCACTATTTAAAAAGTCACTCAGGACCCCCAACAGAATGATTTTTCCCCCCTTTGGCAGTTTGGCTAGGTATCAGGTCCAATCATGTTACTGTTTCTATTTGCAAAGCTAATTGCTATGCATCAAGACTAACAGCTATTCCCCAAGCTCCCCCTCCTACCTTCGTCATACGCAGTATTCTATTTGTGTTCTTTCAAGTAGAAAATTAATATGGCCATTGGCCAAGAATTGTACAAGGTTGATATCATACAGTGATGATGAGAAATGAGGAAAATGTCTGACTGGTTGATGATAGGAATCACTGAAGTCAGAGACTGATAGCCATTTTGTTTAAGCCTATTAAAAAGACAAAAAAGGA